GATTGAGAAACCCTGGGTCTTTATTGCGGTTCTTAATTCCTACATGAGTTTCGGCGCTCAAACCCGTCAGTTTCGAGGGCAATGTGGGCAGTTTGAGTCCGATTCCGGCAGGCATTGGCCTAAAACTGACCATGGCGTGAGANNCGAACACCCTGAAACTCACAACTTCCAGGATATACACTACTGTTCCGCTTGAGGGTGGAATCAAAATAATAAATCTGGCCAAACTGACGCGGCCTAGTGATCTCTGGTTGGCATAGCCCCAGTCCATCGCAAAATTCGCATGGATGAGCAGTAGCTCCTGCATGCACGAAACTCCCCCTGTCTCCGTCCCCAACACCTAAACCCTAAACCCCTCTGTGTGCCCAAACAGTTTACGGCTCAGGGTCTACATGCATGCTTCTGCACAAGTCTGCATGTGTGCGTCGCTGTGTGTCTGTGCATGCGCTCGCATGCGCTCGCATGCGCCTGTATGTGCGTTTGTGCAGGACACATGCTTGTGCGGCTTTACAAGAACATGTGTACCTAGTGGGTATGCGTGTGGAACTGTCCAAGCACAAACCGTAGAATGTAAGCCTCGGGCCTAAGGCTGCAAAGATCAAACTCGAATTGTTGAATGGTGTGGTCATGGCCTTCGGGCTCAGTTCTTTGAACCGTTGCATCCCCAGGGGATCAGAAGCATCTGTATGAAGACTTTCAAAACCCTGAACCCTAAACCGAAAACCCTACACCCTGAAAACCAAATCCCTCAGGACTGTGTAACTGAAGCCTAAAGCCCTACACCCCCAAAGGCACGGAATCAAGACCATCCGAAAAATCTACAGTGAGCTCTCTATGCCAAAAATACTACCAAGTACCTGGTGGAAGATACTTGCACAAACCGTGCCGTTAGTGTCGTTCCTAAGACAAGTACCTACTTTCTACTCTGTAGCTATCAGGATTACATGTCCATATAACAACCTGAACCATGATGCGGATGTGAGCCTCGGTAAAGTCCACGATGGCCGTGTTGACGCCTTCGGCGTAGCTTCGGTTTCCTGGCAAGTGGAATGCGGTCACGGGCTCAGAGTTGGAGTTTGGTGGCTAGCAGAGCAGGGGGAATCGTTTAAGACTTGAGAGGTGAGCCCTAAACCCGAAACAGTAAACCCTAAAGCCTAAACCCTGTCAGAATTGAGTAGGGTTTAGCGGTTTAGGGCTCGGGCGTGCTGCTTCCAAGCTAGGCCTAGTGTTTGGCTTCTGAGGCCTGGTGTCAGGAGCTAATACCCGACGCCCGAAACCCGAAATCCCGAAAAACC